TTTTTTTTTTTTTTTTTTTTACCTCTATAGATCTACATAAGTTGGGTTCCGTAGGAACCCAGCAACTATCCATGCAATATACTCATTTTGGGTTCCGCCATTGCAGACAATGATTGGATTTTGATTTCACCAATTTACAAAGACTGAAGAGACAAAATTTGCAACAAATCCACAGCTAAAATTGGAAAAAAAAAAAATCAAGCTTCATAATCATCATAATCAAAATGTGCTTCTTGCTTCTGTAGCATCTTTATGGGAACAATCAAAGAATCAAGCTTTATCATCATCCTTCAGGAGGCAAGGAAAGAGAGGTTTGAGTTTAGAAAGAAATGTAAGCAAGAAAATTTGCAAGAAATAAAAGCAAAAACTCAAAAGAAAAAAATTGAAACAAAATCAACCAATCACCGAATCAAAATCCATGAAAAAGAAAAGAACCCAGCTTGTGGGTTCGCCTTTTTATATCTGATTAGGCAAAGCAAAGGTAAAAATTTATTTAACCTATTTTAATAAATTTTTAATCTTTAAACAATTTATTTTTATACCTAATATTTAATTTAGTATTTGATTTTGTTTAATCTACTAAATTTTATTTAACACTTGACACATTAATTAATATAATTACATTCTTTATTAATATATTTAACTAATTTAAAACTTGATTTTATCTAAAAAAATATGTGAATATGCATATGAGACTACATAGACATTACATATAAAATTATCACAATTTTTTTATCAATAGTTGACTTTTTAAATTAAGAGTCAACTCTTTTCAAATAAGAGTAGATTCTTTTCCAACAAGAGTCAACTCTCATCAAAGAGAGTTGACTATATACACAGCACTCAGGACGTTCACAACTCTCTGGAATTTGGAAGTCAAATGTTTACCATATATAGTCAACTCTTGAATGCTCAAGAGTCGAATCTTTGTTCTTAGATTCGACTTTGTTTAAAGGTATATATTTAATGGCCTTAACTAACTACTAGTCAGAGTGGTAATATCAACAACAAGAGATATGTTGCTGATGTTTGGTTGGTAAAAGATAAGAATAACAACAACATAGTATATGTTGCTTATACTTTAACTGTGGTTGGAAAAGTTTCAACAACATATCTCTTGTTACTGAAAGTAAATTTCAGCAACATACTCCTTGTTACTGAAAGTATGTTGCTGAAAGTGGAGCAACTTTTTAGGGAAAAAATGTATTGTGCAACTTTTAGCAATGTAAGCTTTGTTGCTGATACAAATTTTCAACAACAAAGGATCCTATGTTGCTGAAAGCTTGAATTTTAATAGTGTACTTAGGTCGTTGGCATTTCTATTTCAGTTTTGTTTTGGCTAATTCACATAAATTATGTGAATAAGAGGGTAATGACAAAATTTCAAGAAGTCTCTCCTCAA